CCGTTCGCGGCGGCGCCCGTGGGCCGCGGCGGCACTGAGCGCCTCTCTCCCCCGGCAGGCGCGGCGACGAGCGGAGCGGAGCGGAGGGCGCGAGGCGGAGCAGGGCGCGCTGCCCCTCGCCCGCGCTGACAGCCGGAGACCTTCGCCGCGCGCCGACATGTTCCCCCCGCAGCCCGGCGGCTTCTTCGACGTCGTGAAGCTGCGTGGGAAATAAGCGCGGCGCCCCTCGGCCCTGCCCCGGCGCGGGGCGGGGATGCCCGCGCGCCCGGCGGCCGCAGCGGCCTCTCGTGCGGAGCCCCAGGAGCCGCGGCGCCGCTTGGCGAGCCATGAGGGCGGGCTGGCGTGAGGGAGCGAGCGCCGCGGCCGCCCCCCTGCGCTGCCGCCCGCCCGCCCGGGCCGCCTGCTGAGCGGCGGAGCCCGCCGCGCTGCGAGCGCACAGCGGCGCTCCCCTCGCCGCCGCTGCCGGCTTTCATTTTTTATATCTATTTTTTTCGTTTTTTAATTTTTTTTTTCTCCTGCCGCCTCGTCCCTCGGCTTCGCCAGGTATGACCGCCTCGCTGCAGCGCCTGTGGCTGGTGCTGCTGCTCGCCGGTGCCACCCTGCTGCTCGGCACTGCGGCCGGTGAGTACCGGGGGGGGGCCATTTTGGGAAGGGAAGGGGAGAGCCGGGGACGAGGATCCATCCAGGGCGCCCCGAGGGCGTCGGGTACCCGGTGTCCGGGCCCCTCGCAAGTGGAAATCGCTTCAYTGTGTAGAGCGAGGTGTGTGCTCAGCTCTTCCATTTTAATCGAAAAAAGACTATATTTTATACCAACCTCTATTTCTATACGTCTATTTACTCATAATCTTTTTGTTTCGCACGCCTGGCACTTTGCGAGGCAGGGATCTCTGTTGTATACTGTACCCGGCAGCGGAGCCGTGTGGGATGTGCTGGGCACAGCCATTTTTAATTTCCCCAGCCCGATGCTTCCAGGGGCCTTCCCCATGTGCAACGCGCGTTGCTGCTCCGCGGGGAGAGGCCGGGAGCAAAAGCGTCGCTATTTCTAATGTCACTTGTGATTATGGAAGAGCGGCGAGAACGCCGCTGCCGAGGAGCGAGGTCTTGGAGACAGCCTTCTTTCTCAGCAGTAATTGAGAAGCKCATGTGCCAAGAGCATCCCCGTTGGTATTTTGGGGCCTGTTATTAATGCTGCTTGGAAGCTCGGTGTTGGATGCGTGGGATATTTAACCGTGATGCTGGAAGAGCTCCGTGTTGCTCTGGCATCCTCTGGTTTCTGTCATGGTGACCGATGAGCCTGCGGAGGCTTCCTGAGGGTCCCGCAGCTTTGTTAGGTGCAAGGACTGAATCTTCCCGGTGTGGGCGTTTTCAGCTGCCGTGGAAAGCTCTGAGGACTTTGGGCTCTTTTTACTAATGATGAGCCAATTTTGAGTGCTCATCCTGTTGGGCATTTTTTTGGGGGGGGGGGGGAGGAGGGGTCTGATATGTTTAGCTCATAGGTGAATCCTAAATTGCTCTATCTTGCAAAGATGACCTAACGAGATTGTAGTAGTTTCCATACCATATCCTTGATTTTTTTTTTTTAATTTGAACGATAGTTAGTGCCATTATTTGGAAAATGCTGTGAATTAGACATGTTTAGGCCATTTCTTTATTGCTCTGGTAGTTCCCAATCTTCTCTCTTCTGCTTTTTTTTTTTTTTTTAATATCTTTGAGGAAGATATTAAAATGAATTATGTAGGCCTTGCCTACACCAGCCTGACCTTTGACCATTGATACATTAGACTGATATTCGCTCTGTCTGTCTGCGGTAATTTAAGGGGATTTTTTTTTTCCCTTTTTTGAAAAAGGGACCTTTGAAGGTCGAAAGCCTTTCCGTGAAAGCATGGATGAGTCAAGAATGCCAAGCATTTAACCGTTTCTCTTAAAGATGGTTTTAAAAGGTGTAGGATTTTCTCTTTTTCTCATTTGCTAAACTGCAGTGAATGGGTAAGTGCTTAGGCATCCGAGGAGCAGGTTAGCGAGGGAGGAAGCAGACCGAGGGCTGGGCAGGTGCTGTACAGCCCATTCACGCGTTCTGCCGATTCACCTCCATCCTCACGGCCAGCAGCATTCCCCGTGTTTCAGTTCTGGGTTTGTTTTATAAGAACAGGAATAATGATGCCAGCTTGTTAGGCCGCCTTGTGAATAGGAACCAATTTTCCCATTGTGATTTATTTCTTAATTGTGAAATTGTAACAATCCATGTTGTAAAGCCTCGGTCATAATCCCCCGTACGAGTAATTACATGAATGATTTGAGCTTTAGTTAAAGTTACTAACGGTTGACTGTAAGTTTACACTGCATTTCAGGGAAAAAAACAGCTTTACATGGGGAAGCTCCACTAATGTGTAATTCTGCCCTTTTATGTTCATGAAAGAGCCAACTCGATTGCTTCTCTTCCCCTCCCCTCCCCTGAAGCATGAACCGTGTACACGGTGCAAATGCAGCCTGTGTAGCTCTTAAACCCTTGTCTAGCTGCCTCTCCTCGCCTCCGAGCACCTCCTGTGCCTCAACAGCTTAGAAAATTCACTGTTGATAAATGCAAAATCATGACAGTGGAGGGAAAGTGCTTTCAGAACAGGTTGTTAAATTCCTGTCTTGAGAAGGWTATCGCGACATCCTTGAGGTGCCTCCCCAATGTTCTGCACTGTAAATATGGCCAAGAAGAAAAGGATGCTGAGGTGTGTGGGTGAAAGAGAAAATCCTCAGGGGAGATTTTTGTTGATTGTTTCGCTCTTAATCTGGAACCTGATGTAGAAAGGAGATGGTTCTTCACCTTGGCAGCCAAAGATGTTATAAAGAACTAACTTTAGATTTGGAAAACCTCTTTTTTTTTTTTTGTTTTGCTAATTATTAGAGAACAGTGGCTTCTTACGTAAAATCTAGATTTTAATCGGTGTCCAGTAGCTCATATTTTAAGTCATGTACTGTTCATTGTAAAGAGAAATGCTGCATTTTTATGTCTTTTTTTTTTGTTTGTTCATTTGTTTTTTTGATGGAGATGCTGCTTTGTGCTATTTTGCTCTTCTCAGAATACTTCCCATTCTTCTTTGTTAAACCTTTTGTTTAGAAACTCAAGGCACAGTTATCCTCCCTTATGTATTGAAGGGSTTGGATGCAGTAATCATGAGGGCCACTGCTCAAGAGATGGCCAGTGAATGACTGAACCTTTTGCCAATATTGTTGGAGAATTTTGTTTGAGTGCTTGTACGGACTTAATGTGAATGAAAGTTATTTTTCTTCTGATGTAATCCTGTTCCGTTTACTTAGCTTCTGTGATATGCACTGCTAAAGCACTTCTTCTTTATAGACATTCGGGGCCGGCAGCATTCCTTTGTCTGGTGTGTAAGTTATTTAGGGAAAACATAAATTGGAAACTAAGACTGTTTTTTTGTCCTTGTGTCTTTCCATAAGTCTGTACCTGTGTGGTTCAGTTTCTGCTTTGCTGGAGACGTGCTCATTGCTAATGGCTTATTCTGCCTGCCATTTCCAACTGCGGTGTATTTTTCTGTTTGACATGGAAGCTRTTCTAGTAGCCAACCTTCGGGAACAGGCAGCCAGCTTGGGAGGCAGCCTGGAGACGCTGCAGCGGGGCCCATGCCGGTCTCTGGCACTCCAGCAGAGCCACTCACAACGTCCCAAGCAAATGGTAGTATTCCTCAGCTGCGCTGCGTGGTGTGGACATATCCTGTGAGGAAATGGAAGCCGCAGTAATCGCATTGCTGAGGAGCTGGAATTTCAAGCCCTGAGCCATTACATAGGTGCATCACTTCTGGCATGAGTTGTTTTTCCCTCAAAAGAGCTATGAGTAAAGGGCTGGCTAAGTTGCCTGTGTGTCCTGCTCTGAGGATGGAGGGGAAGCCCTTCTGCAGCATGAATGAGGAGAAGGGAAGYGTTTCTTCCCCCAGAATTATTCTTACGCTGAGCTTTGTACAAATGATGGCTTTATTGGCACCTCTCTGGCATATATTACCACCTTTTCAAAAAAAAAAAAATCATTTTTCTAATGTTTCTGTGGACAGTGTTGGCTTGTGCACTAGGAATATAAGCATTATCGTCCCACTCAACTTTTTACCTTTCTTTAAGTATGTCTCAGCAATCCATATAGTGAGTGTTGCTGGTTCCTTGGCAGGTGCTAGCAAACAGCCGGGCAGGGCCTTCTGAACTGTTCTAGTCCCAGCAGTGGGGTGTACAATTTGCTGTCGCTATGTGACACTGCGTGCTGGGTAGGGCAGCAGTGTCTGGGAAGCTTGCATGCAGGTTTTAAGTCATGGTTTGATTAAATTGGTTGCTTTGGTGGATCCACTCATTCCTTTGATTTGAATTTAAAACTAAGTGAGTAATATGAAAAAATCCCAAAATTCTGGTTCCTGAGGCTGCCAGTGTGACTCAAGGAGTCTGTTGAGTGCAGAGATGGGCGCCAGGATGAGCAGCAGTGGTGGAATCTGACAGGAGAGATCAGGCTCGATGTGTGAACAGAAGGAGGAAAGGCTGGCGAGGCAGGAGAGATTTGAAAGGGTGAAGAATAAAATCTGTTTTGCAATAGGCTGAGAAACAATGTTTATTAGACAGCTAGACAGAGAAGATGACTTACATCTGTCGGACTTGTTTGGAGAGTGAACATCCGCAGTCATGTTGTGGAACAGAGATTGGTGCTGTGGGCGAGAAAGAAGGTGCAGTTGTAGGCAGCAGTGTTGAAGATTTCTGCTCTCTGTTGTGAGCATTAACGAGAGATCTGGTCACTTAGGTAATAGCTTTCTCTTCCTCAGCAGTCTCACAACTTGGAAAATCAAGGTTTTGGGGTAGTAATGGTGTTTTATTCCAAGCATTTGGGTGGGAGGGTGTCAGTTTTGTTGATTGCCTTGTTTTTCAATCAAAACACATTTCGTGCTGTGAGCTGTAAAGGTGTCTTAGCATTCTGTGTAGCAGTACTTTGTATTTTCTCTTCTGTTTTTTATTTCTGAGCGAGAGAGGGAGGGAAAGATAGGAACTAGAGATACAGAAGACTCCCTTTTTATGTCGTTGCCATCTGTGAACCTGCCCGTTTCCACCAGTAACTTCTGAACCTGCTTGCCAATTTCAACCATATGTGAGAGATGTCTCAGAGAGATTAATTTGCTACTGCTTTCATGAAAATTAGTAACTGAATAGGGAAGAGAAATCTGAGGTAGAACTTTCTTAAAGGGCAGCTCTGGCAGAACTCAGCCCACATACCTGGATTGCTCTAACCGTGTGCCTGGGTAGCAAGAATGCTGGCAGCTTCCTGGTGCCTACGCGGTTCTGGACTGCATGTCTGGTCTTCTGCGCTTGTCAGATGCTGTAGGAGTGTTTTATGGTAACCATTAACTTTCCCACTTCAGGGGAAAGAGCTCTTCTGGAGCAACATGACTGAAACTATCATCATAAATGATGGATACTAACTGAACTCCTTAATTTAAATGTTGGAGAATGCAGCACTTAGTTGATATTGAAGTTTTGGCCACTGGCAGTGTCATCTCCCCAGCTCACTATTTGTGGCAGGAACTGAGGTTGCCTCTRCGTGCACAACAAGGGTCAGGCTCCTGCGCTTCGAGGAGCCTCAG